GGGCGTAGTTGAAGTGCATGTCGTTGCGCAGTGCTGTGCATGCGAGAGCTTGGTTGCTGGAAGAGGTAGAAAACTGTCTGAGTCAGCAGAGCGGAGCTGTCCTTGATTGGGTGGAAATCTACCTGCTGCATCTCTGGAGGGACCTTACGCTGAAGCAACTAATCCTCGAAGCTGCTTTTATACTTCCAGCGCACAACTTGGAGCACTTCTTTTCATTTCTGGCGCACAACTATCGCACTGAATTCTGCAGTGCGCTGACAGAACTGCTAGGAGAGGCGGCATGCGTCAATTGACGCTGCCAATTCTCTCCACTACGCCCGTCAATGCCAAGCACAGTGATTCGGTACCATCAACAACCAGCTTTCCTCCCACCGACACTGGCTCGTCTCGGTCCCAAGTCCGAGCACTGCCTGGCACAAGCGAATCTACATGTCCCGAACCTGCAGTGGGCGTGAGGGTCTTCGGTACTGCCTCCGGTCCGAAGGTAGCCGTCAATCCGAAGGCGGTGAACAAGGAGGGCGAAAGGCCTATATACATGCGGACAACCCAAGACCGCATCAAGAAGCGATCTCTGCAAAGAGCAATGCGGAGAGCTAGTCGGGACGGAGTTGCAAGTTATCGAGGCAGGCCACTTCGCGTGCTTGACATGGGAAGGAGCCATGCTTCGGCTACCGCACAAGAAAGAACAGCAACGTCCGCTGAGCGTCTGCATATGATACATTGGAACTGTAGTGGGCTCTCACAGGAGCTGCAGATGGAATGGTTTGTATGGCTCAGACAAATCCCTCAAGTAGGGATCTTCGTGTTGGTTGAAACACATTGGGGATTCACTAATGAATATCGCTCCAATGGATGGACGCTTGTTCATAGTGGTCTGGAAGGAAAGAAGGGTGCCGGCATCTTGATTGGAATAAGGGATGACTTGCTCACTCCGCACACGCTCAAATGGCACGCGTTGGAGCCGGGCAGGCTGCTACACGCCAGATGCCAAAAATTGGCAAGCAGCACGTGGACATAGTTGCCCTATACCAGTTTGCGATGGCGAGGGTTGACAGTGCTCAGCAACAAGAGCTGCTGAAAAAGCGCCGAAAGGTGTGGCAGAAACTTCGTCATCTTCTTGCTGGGCTTCCCTTCAAGTCCTTGATTGTGCTCCTTGGAGACTTCAACATGACTTTGTCCCCTTTGTCTGAAGTTGCAGGAATGGGTATTATGCCCAGGGCTAATGCTGAGTTACTTGTTGCTGAAACTGATGAAGTTATGCAAATACTGCGTGACAGCCGCCTAGTGGCGCTAGACACGTGGTCTAAAGCTGCAGCGACGTACCATCATCCGAATGGGGATTCGCAGATCGACTATGTGGCAGTGAGACGTCAGCTGGCTGACTCCGAGGCCAAATCCAGCAGGCCAGTGCAGCCTCCAATAGCGGCTTGGAGGTCCTCAGGACACAAACCTGTCCTAGCCTCTATTAAGCTGAATTGGCGTCCATGGTGCTCCAAGCTACGTCCTCGGGTGGACAGGCCGTGCCAAACCAGAGATCTCTCGGAACTTTTGCAGGACACCGCAATCTCGCTGGATCAGCTTCAGCCCGCGGTCAAAGCACAGCTCGACAAGCCGCCTCTGCGCTATGATCGACCACCTCCCAGACAGGTGGATCTGCGCTATGATCGACCACCTCCCAGACAGGTGGATCAGGAAGTGCGTCAGCTCTGGCGCCGAAGTGCTTCAATAGAGCAGCCAACCGAAGAAGACATGAAGCAGGCGAAGCGAGAGATGCGCAGGCTTGCTAGAGCTCGGAAGCGCGAGGCTCTGACGGAGGCGCTACAAATGGCGCAAGAGGCATATCAGGCAGGAGACATCAGGGCGCACTACAAATTTATCCGCAGCATTGCCCCTAAAACCTACAGGCGCAAACTCTGCCTGAAATCGGAGGATGGACGGCTTATGTCCTCTGAAGAAGAATGCGAAGCTCTTGCAAAGTATGCCTCAAATGTGTTTGCCACGGCTGAGTCGATTGAGGTCCCAACCCTGCTCCCTCTACCTGCAGACTGGTTTTCGCCGGATGCATGGGCGCTAGCCTTGCGCTCGCTGAGCAACCACAAGGCGGTCCCCAAAGACTCTGCTAGCGTGATGTGCTGGAAGAGTGCGTCCAATATCCTGGCACCGGCCTTGCATCAGATCGCAGTGCATGCCTTTTGTTCAGGGAGCCCGTACATTCCAGACGCATGGGTGCGGGTACAGCTTGCATGGCTTCCCAAACCGGGACGTGCGCCAACGTCCCCACATTTACTGCGCACCATTGGTTTAATGGGTCCCGATACAAAGGCAATGCTACAGATACTCAAATGGCAGGCCCAGCCATGGATACAGTCAGCACTCGCTTCGTGTCCACAGTATGCGTACCGGCAACTGGCTTCCACGTATGATCCTTTGATGAGGGCAAGCCTTCATTGCTCAAGAGTTAGAAAGACGCTCGGGGAGTATGTTGACGATCATACCGCCAAAGTTCTTGGTCAATCGGATCAGGAGCTCCTTGGTGGCATCATGTTGGGGATTGACCTGAGCAAAGCTTTCGATTGTCTTCAGTATAGCGAAGTGCTGCAATCTCTAAGAGCCGCGGGCATGCCTGAGAACCTCTGTAGATTTTTGCTTCACATTCATGTTCGCACTACATTGGTCATCGAACACTGTGGGCACAGTCGTACAGTGCAGATGTTTCGAGGGCTGCGCCAGGGATGCGGTATAGCGCCAATGGTTTACGCATGCTGGACAATCAAGCTCTGCAAGGACATCGATGCCCGACTCCAATCGACCTCTGCAGCCACTTGGACTCAGGACCACATGTCCATATTCGCCGATGATAAGCATTGTTTCTGGGAAATAAGTAAGTGTCATGATTTTCAGCAAGCGATCAAACACATCGGAGTCATCATTGACACCATCCTGGAACGAGGAATGCAGATCAACTTTCAGAAGTCACTGACCACATTTGCGCTCAAAGGCACGCAGGCAGGAGCGATCGTAAAGCGCTACTTCAAACAGTGGAATGGTCGCCAGAGTCTGGTACTACGGAGAAAGCAGCATGACATTTACATTCCGGTAAGCGCTAATATGCAATATCTTGGCGCTATACTGAATTATGGCAGCTTTGAGCTGGATACTGCTAAATTCCGTGGTAAGCAGGCGAACAGCAACTTTGCACAGCTTGCCCCGGTTCTCCGGACCAACGGACCTCTCTCGCAGGCGCGGAAGCTTCAGGTTTATCGAGCGTGCGTGTGGTCCTCCCTGGTGTACGGCATCACCGCTACAGGACTATCCCACTCTGTTTGCCGAGTTCTGACGAGTACGGCTGCCATGCACCTACGCAAGCTTCTACGTGTGCATGAAAAAGGGCATAGTAATGTTCAGGTTCTTCAGCGCGCCGGGCTAGAGCTCCTACCAGTGCTTCAGCAACGACTTGAACGGCAGGCGCATGCCCTACAAATGGACAGTGGGAGAAATGCGCTGCTGCGCGTCAGGGAATCGACAAGATTGACTCAGCTTCGAGAGCAACTACACATCGTGCAATCCCAAGAGCAAACACGAACCATCATTCAGCTCGAGCCATCAGGCACTGCACAGGTTCCATGTCCGATCTGCGGCGTGTATTTCAACAGCGCGGAAGGTCTCCATCTACACCTTCATCACAAGCATGCGCATGTTGAACAAGCAGCCAAGATCTCATTTGACAGATCAAAGCACAGTTTGTTTGGTCTCCCTTTCTGCAGATTTTGCCGGACAAGGAAACAAGACTGGCGAAGCTTAACAAAACACGTGACACAAGGCGCGTGCCTCAGACTTAAAACTGCGTTCGCTCAGAATCAAACCATAGATCAGCTACTTGAAGAGATACAGGCAGAAGAACAACCCACCGCGGCATCCGGCCGGGGATAATGACTCCTACACGCAGAGCATAGAAGCGTCTCCCATCAGGACGCTGGCTATCTACACGCCACTTGCGGAACTACGACAGCACAGTCGGCTCCTCGCTGAATCTGCGTCGCAATGTATTCTATGCGGACAGCGCCTCCTGCAAGCCTCCAGAATCAAATCACACTGGCAGCAGAGTCATGCCCAGGCTTGGAAACAGAGCGGGCGGCATGCTATCACAGAGGCTGGTAGCTTGTGCGCACTTTTCGAGAGTCCATGTGTTTACTGATCCAAAGCCAAGAATTATACAAACAACATGCGTCTCAGTGCCCGGTGATGTTTCAAATATTGGCGTTGCGGCGGTTGACACATACAGGCGAACTGGAGACAGTGGATGACTCCAAGCCTGCTGCTCCCAGGAAGCATGAGGCACAGCCCAAATACAAGTCATTTGTTTCGCCCCTCAAAAGAGCTTTGGAGCAGGGAGCAAAGACCCCTGGGGTGACATCTACCGTTGCCTCCTCGGCTGTGATCGCCTCTATTGTCAAACCGAAACCTGGCTCAGAAACTCAGATACCCAAGAGTACAAACGCGGAACAGGTGCAGCAGACTCCCAAGCAAATTCATCCACTTTTTCGGCGTGGAGCACAGACCCGTACGGCTCCACCGCCCACAGAACTACATTGGACGTGTCGGCTTAGGTTGAACAATCCTCAGTCTCTATGCTACGCAAACGCGGCGACCTTGGCACTGATGTTTGCAGCGCTTTCTATATCCCCCGCATTGGAGGTTCCCGAGCTGGGCTTCCTGTTCAAGATTGGGAAGAAAGCAGCCGAGGCCATGAAGGACCTCTCCCTCTCGCGCATGCATCAGTTTCGACAGCTTACGCCACAGTGGGCTTTTAGCGCGGAACAGAAGGACACTGCCGAATACCTCCAGGCGGTCTTTGCCGCGATTGATAGCTTGCAGGTCACTTGGGATACCAGAAGCTCAACAATTGATGGAGTCAGATTACGTGTCTCAGGTGCACAGCCTCTCCTTGTTCCCATTGGAGACGACACACCTATGCGTGTCGGACTACAGGAGCTCATCAATGTATGGCACTCAGCAGATGGTGATAATACAGGCCTCACACATCCCGCCGATCTTATCTGCGTACAAGTTGGCAGGTATCATCCAGGTGGTAAACGACTTCACAGCATTGACATGCCGGAGGAGGTCAGGCTCCCGTGCTTTAACGTCACTTCGGAGACCCAATGGTGGAGATATCAGGTTTGCAGTGCGATCATTCATCTTGGCAGGTCCCCACTTTCTGGGCACTATCGTGCACTTCTACGATGTGCATCGGCCTGGCACTTGGCTGATGACTCCAAAGATGCTGTACCGGTCACTCTGCATGCGGGCACCTTCGCAACATCTACGTAATCATGCTCAGAAAAGTCGACGCTGCGCTGCCGTCTAATGCAGCGCGTCCCTTGTGCTAGCTGGGCTCAACGGGATCCCGAGACCAGTGCTAAGAAGACTGCTCGCCAACTCTTTTCTTCTCGACCATGGCAATGGAAGAGGACTCGGAGAAGATGGAGAAACAGGAGTATAGCTTCTTTGATCAGTACTGGCCGGGATCTGCGATGTCCACGGGCACACCTTCCACGGCGCCCTCTCTTGATCTTGAGGCGGAAACTGCAGCAGAGGATCGAGCGGCCAAGCAAGCCAAGACGGACGAACAAAAAGGAGGTCGTGGCGGCAAGGGCTGGACCTCGAACTACGCTGGCAAGCGCCGAGAAAGGGAGCAACAACAGAGCCGCGGATGGGGATCCAAGTGGAACAACTGGGATGAGGAAGCCCCCGAAGACAAGGGGAAGAAAGACAAGGCTATCAAGGCCCTCCAGGACGAGGTGGCGAAGCTCAAGGACAGCGTCTTCGCCCTCCAGCGCATGGCGCTGAGACAGGAGGACTTCAGCAACTGCATTAAATCGGAAATTGCCTGGGTGATGTTCATCAAATTGGACGTGAAGGCAAGCATAGTGCCATGTCTGTACGCTATGCAGCAAAGCTGGAGGGAGATGAAAGCCTCTCACCCGGAAAAGCTCAAAGCGCCGATGCGAGTCGACCTTGTCAAGGCTATGTTCAAAGAATTCAGCAATCGTCTGGCTCTTCTACCGCAAAGCGAAGAGCAGCTTGATACGCTGATTAAAATGGGGTGGCTGAACAAGGAGCCACTCACATGGAATTCTGTGCAGTGGAACTCGGATGTAGAGCGCCTCTGTCGCATCCCAGATGTGGAACCAGTGGCCTTTGAACGCGTGGCCGCGATTGCGGGGGCAATGCAGCAGCTGGCTGACCAAGGAGGTGTCATCAAGCGATTTCACCCCTCCGCGGAAATGGAAGAAAAGATGGGAGGAAAAGTCCTCACTTTCTCCCTTCAGAGGGCGATGCGGCCAACTCCATCCGTGAACATATGGATCTTCTCAGTGGACTAGCAGCCACGCAGCTGCTTGGACTCAGCATGAGACGGGAACGCCCAGGACGCTCTGCCCTCGCTAATGTGATTCAAAAGCAGATTGGATGATAGAGCGTGAAGTTTTGGGACACCCTACTGCTACGTCGCTCTTCATGGGCAAGCGCCAAACAACAGCTTTGGCGCGAGTTTTTGGCAGTGATTGAGTGTTGCGTGCTGTGCAGCCGAAGTGCATGGTGCAGTGCTTGGCCCTATCGGGGCGGCTGCTGAAGTGCGCCGGCTAACAGCTCCCAAAGTTCCTATGCGCAAGTGATGCTCACTATGTCACGTCCAGCAGACTCGTATCCCTCTGGCGGGCAACAAAACCCTTGCAGTTGATAGACTACGCAGCATGCACGCACCAGCTACAGACTCATGAGCACCAAGGCTGGTCCATCTTCGTGCGTCGAGCTCTTTATGCTCTCGAAGAAGGCGGATATGAATATGGCCGCGAGCTTGTCCGTCTTAGCGAAGATGTGCGCGCGAGCGTGATGCATGCTGCTTGGAATACGGCTTTTGCGGTGTGCGGCTTGAAGTTTTTGAGTCTCAGAGGGAATCCCGGGCCTGATCCTGTGATCTGGTGAAACAGAATGCAGAGAGGCGCAGAGGATGAGGACTCTGACAACACAGCCATAGATGACAGTTCGGAGGAGATGGAAGAGGAAGAGCTCCCATTTACCGGGACAGAAAGAGACCTCCTATCCTGGCTCCAGATTACCTAATGATCCTCATGTTCATCATGGCATTTTCATGGTTGGCACAATGCCTTTGAACCCAGTGGAGGAGGAGCAGCGTCATGCCCTCTTTATGCGGCAGACATATTTAATAAGGGGAGTCAACGTCGATGGTCTTGACATTCCAGGCGAATGCTTTGCAGAGGCCCGAGCCTGTGGACTAATCACATGTGGTCAGGCCACATGGAGTCAACTGCAGCGGCTCCTGGAAATGCTGCCCTCGGACAGAAGCTTGCGCTGGCCTCAGGAGCGCCACGGTTTGGATCCGCCACCGAAGCGCTTCACCACGGGGGCGTGGGTACGCGGTCCCATGACTGGCGTTAACGTTTTCGCCAGAACATTTCCATGGACGGCGAGGCTATTCAGCGGGCTCATTTCAACCTGGGATGGAGCTCTGAAGTTTTCGACTGTCACGGTGTCAGTGAATGTTACTGCCAAGCCCCACAGAGACAGCTTCAACCATGCTCAATCCAGGAATCTAATTCTGCCCTTCTCAGAATTCACAGGCGGACAGGTTTTTCTGGAACATCCTGAGGGTCGTTATCGACTTTCTGCGGACGGTCCAGCAGGACATGTTGTTTCAGTTAACGAACCACTGTGTTTCTCTCCAAGGAAGCTACACGCCACATTGCCATGGTCTGGGCCCAGGTATGTGATGATCGCCTATCACATAGGCATGGTGCAGAATCTGCGCCAGCAGACTTGGAAGAGCTCAATCACATGGGCTTTCGGACAGGCGATTGGCGACTATAGCTGCCGGGGAAATATGGAATTCTGACCTGCGGCTCCTATCGTTCACAAAAAGGAGAGTGAGCTGAGCACGCGCACATGCGCGCACTCTGCGAGCATCAGCTGCCCCGAATTGTATGTGTGGCCAAGGTTGGAGCAAACAGGTGCAAGCAGGACGCAAGGTGGGAGACGGTGCTGATCTACAGCGGTTCTACTATCCTGTATGCATCTAATGTCCCAACGCAGGTCATGCAACTCTCTTTCTCAGTGGGTGTGTATTCGCCGCGCACTACCAACCAGCTGGAGAGTATGATGGTGTCTTATTCGTGGCATCTCTCAATGCTACCAAGTCTTGCAGCCGAATGCTTTATCCATGTGCTGCCACAGTTCGCAGCTTGCTGAGAGGCGGTGAGCCGTAGAAGTATATACTGCCTAGGATCTCGATGCTGATAATTTGGTTGACCTTGCTGTTGCTTATGGGGGCTATCGGCCCGGGCAGCTTGGTCCAAAAACCCGACTGCATGTTTTTGGCTACAACTGTTAATGCTTGCTGAAATCTCAGCCGGAGGGTTTAGCTGTCTCATGATGGCCAAGTCTAAGACTTGCCCATGTAGTGCCACGCAAAGACGTTCTCGAACGTTTGCGCCACGGAAGGAAGGAAGTAGTAGTAGTAGTAGTAGTAGTAGTAGTAGTGGTCGTCATCACGAGTAGATAGCAGCTGGTAGCTTATAACTCTGTAGTGCAGGAAATGCAGAGTAACGGTTGGAGGAGGAGTAGGAGAAGGAGTAGCAGCTGCAGCAGTAGCAGTAGCAGTGGTCGTGGTAGTCGGCAGCAGCCGCAGCAGAAACAGTTGCAGTTGCAGTTGCAGCTGCAGCTGCAGCTGCAGCTGCAGCTGCAGCTGCAGTTTCTGTTGCTGTTGCTGTTGCTGTTGCTGTTGCTGTTGCTGTTGCTGTTGCTGTTGTTGTTGTTGCTCCTGCTGCTTCTTCTGCTTCTGTTTCTGCTTCTGCTGCTGCCGCTGCTGGTGTCTCGGTCTGATGTGCTCCTACATGGTCCTTGCTTGACACTCGGCATGCAGGTCTTCAACGAACTTCGACAGTGTGCGCTCTACGGTCTTCGTGTCAGTGTCGTGACTCACTGTGCCAGAGCAGCAGCAAGTGAGTACTTCCGTAGCCAGTGGCCAGTTTGCTTCAGGCCCATGTGTTCAGGATTCTGTTCGTGAAGTCACCAGCATTCTGATGAACAGTCCGTGTGAATCGCAATAAACACCAGTCCTTGCAAGGCTACGAGTGCTGCATGGCTTCCGTAAACCTGTTGCGGTCTGTCCTGGCCTCGCAAACCCTGCGACCAGGCACGGATGCTCGCAGCTTGTGGCAGTGCTCGTGTCTTTTAACCATAGCCTTGGCAGGCTCGGCCAAGGCCGGCGAATTCCAGAAGCTTTGCAGACACTTTGTCACCAAGCCGCACATGGCGAGAGTTGGCACGACGATGTGGCAATGGCAATGCCTGGCTCCCAAGGCCGACATCCTGGTGCCCTTGGTGGCCTCCCATCTTGAGGCTCTTTTCGGCAGTGCAGCCAGGCCGGAACCCCAGAAAGCCTCTTAATTTGTGGTCACTTCGAGAGCTGGAGGCTGGACTCCGGCACAATCGTGTCTTCGATGGTGCCGGATCTCATCCAAGCGGAGGTTGAGTACAAACTCCCTCCAGAGGTTGGATGGCCTTTCAGATTACCAAGCGGGAGGGCAATCCCATCCTGCGCAGGCTCCCGAGCAAGGCAACGTGCAGGTCCCCCAGTGCGGAAAATCGCTGCCTCAAAAAGATCTGCCAAAAGGGGGGGTGGGGGGGGACAGTGCGGCAGTGGCACTGCCCGAGGCCGGCCGAGCCAGAGGCGATTCGCCCAGCCGATCCACCTCTTGAACCAACGCGGCCAGAGATGCCAACAGAGGCGATTCGGGGTACCGCCAAGGTGGCGCAACGAGTGTAGGCAACATTGCGAGACCAATAAAGAAGGAACGTCCGAGAGGTTGGTTTCATTCGGTCTGAAGCCGTGCTCAGCTGCTCCATGTCGCTGTGTAGAGCTTCTGGAAATTGAAGTACCTTTTTGGCCAGGTGCCTACAACGTCGAGCGACACATAGTTGCACACGCTGCGACTGCTTTGCTCGAAAAAGGTTTGCACGAGAGTCGGCTTCGAAGCAGCCTCCAAGAATGGCAAGCATGTTGTATGTCCAGAGAGGGTCATGGAGTTCATGTACAGTCGACAACCACCCGGTAGGCAGCCCACTTCGCATGGAAAGTTGTAGCTGACATCGCAAGAGTCACAGCAGGTGAAGGTCAAGCAGCAGAAGAGTGAGGTGATGTGCCGCATGTCACCTGCTTTCACCATCGCTCATGTAAGATGGAAAAACCCGTACGATGGGGACACTTGTTGTAAAAATGGCAAGCCCGTCATTTAGTCTTCTAAGCTCTTGAGGAGAGTTGGCATTATTTGGAGGCAAACTGCATGCATGTGCCACGTTGCCACAGTGACTGAGCCTCGTCAGATTGCTCTACGCTTAAAACTCAAGACCTGGCACGCCATTGTGTTGCTGGTAATCCAACAGCACAAGTTTCACCTCAGATTCGACTTGGCAGCCTGCTCTTGCAGGTCGTTGAAAAGCTTGCAAGACATGTCTCGCCTCGCATCGCATGCAAGCTGAACAACTGGCATTTGCTGCAAGATCATTCTCACAGCAGGGAAGACACATGAGTGCCTGCTTCAAGGTATGCATGATAAAAGAAATTGGGAACTTGTGTAAAAGGCGGCAGATGTTAGAGACCAAGATTTGCTGTTGTCCAGCAAATGACTTCTGGAGATGGCATGCAGCCGTGGACAGACCAGCATCTTGCGACTGGGCAGTCGTTTCTATGCTGTGAGGCACGTCTGGTACGTGTGGCCGCAACCCACCAAGGCATTTTTCCTGCAGTATCTCCTCGCTGCAGCCAGTCTTAGCGACTGTCACGTTCAATGCGCTGCCTTTTTTTCAAGAATTGTGCAGAAAGAAAACCATATCGTTTGTCGTCCACTCAGGCATTCGCGCAAAGCCTCCCATTATCTGCTATGGGACTGATTCTGAATGTTGACTTGGATGCTTGGCGATGCTAGATGCAATGTCAGGCAACAACAAAACTTGAACGACACGTTCTTGCAGCTGCACACTAGCCGGCTTGGCCCTGTGCGCATCCTTCATGTGAAGAGCTGAAACATGAGGATGGCCGGGCCCACCCCGAGGAGGCGGGTGCCTTTGGGAAGCAGACTTGGGTCCGCACGTATCCACCCGTCAATGAAAAACAAGGTCAACGCGTTCTATGCCAACGCATTACTCGCGCCGGCATTGATAAGACCACTACTAGGTCAGGCTTCTACTTCTGTTGCCTCCCACAGCACTGGGAGCAAGGGATCACAAGAGAGTTGGAGCCGTGAAAGAGAGGTGCCTTGTCGGATGGAATCCGCCGCTGCAACTGCGGTCGGCGGCCGGTGCTTGCCTTGGCCCTGGTCGGGCCACACATTCCGCGTGCAGGTAGCCTTTCACGGTGGACGGTCCTGCCTTGCGTTGGTCATGCCTAGGTCCTGCTACAGGTGATCTGGGCTGTGGGACTTGTCCAAGCTTCAGTGAGCAGGCAGCAAACATGTATCTATGATACGATGATGTCTGCAAACAGCTGCTGCAATTCCAAGACTCCTATGGCAGGACACGTTGGGGCTATTTTGCCAGGGCCACGGTATACACCGCTGAAATGTACTCTCTTTGTCCTTCCATCGAAGCAGTCTCATTCCTTCATTCAGGTCGCTTACACTGCGGTCGCGCTTTGCACTGGTGCTGCTGCTACTTAGACTGATTCAGACACCTAATGTTGCGCATTTCCCAACCGCTGCATGAAGTGATATCAATTCACACGCCTTCATCGTAGATCGCCTTGCTCGCAAGGAGGCTGTACTGGACGGCGTGTCTGTAGAGCTGATGCAGCCTGGCACGAATGCTTCAAGTGACTCAGTGCTAGACTGTTCGCCAGATGCTGGCCATGTTGCAGCGTGGTCTTTCAGGCGAAAGACGGGGCGCTCCGCAACAGAGGCAAGATGGTTGCTTTGCAAGACGTCTACACATTGATATTGGCATTTTGCCTTCTCCGAGGTGCAGGCTAAGTCTTTTTCTTTTAAAACGGTCGGGGGACCCAGCTGAGTCTAGTTTGAGTCCAGGGTTTCTGATGGGAAGCTTAAGGCCGGCAGCTTGGCTGCCTTTGCAGCTTCCCCGCTGATGCTCAAAATGTTTAGCAGCCCGGCAGCATCTTGGCGAAGCAGGCGAAGCGGAAAGCTCTCTTTGCATGCTCGTAGAACGCAGGTAGCCACTACATGACGGTTCGAGTTTGCGCAGCGGCCTTGGACATATTCAGCAGGAGAGGTTTCAGGAACGCCCTTGGATCCAGGCACTGGTGCCACTAGCCACCGCCATCGCAACGTGCCCTCACATCTGCCTCTCATTCTCTCTCGACTTTCTGGCTCTGCGAATGAGGCTGACCACATTTCCAGCTTTTGAGCTTCCTGGCCGTGCATGTGCAGGCACGAGGAGGGCGGAGCTGAATGCTGATTCACTGTTTGCTTCATGACACTGGACTTCCCGACACCACACAGCCTTTGGAGTTCTGGCAGTGGACGCTTCTCATGCGACATACTTCTGAGGCACGAACGCACATGCAGGTGCTTCAAGTGGCCGGACACTGATGGCGAAAGTAGCTATCGAGTCTTTGCAGCTCTTTGCTTCAATGATCTGATGTGCACCGTGCTTGTATGCAAGGCCAAGCACAGCTTTGCCGGCTTGTGCCCAGAGGCAAGTTGTCATGAATTGCATGCAAAGAGCATCGAAAACAGTAGGTACAACTTCCTGCAGTTGGTGCAACTTGTCATAGGTGCTTGGTTTGGTGCAATTTTTCTCTTTGTGCGCGGGGCAGCCTGGTGCTCAACTCCAGTCCTGTTTCGGCATTTGCACATGCTGCTTGGCTCGCTAAGATGCCCACAGAAAGCGATACTTTTTCCGGATTCGTATCTACAAAGGCACGGCCTTGCAAAGACAGATTAAGAGGGGCGGCAGAATCGCGAGAGGTGAGCGGCGTTTGGGTGTCCATCATCTTCGCCTGCTCGAACTTGGGGTCCCTGCTGGCACTAGTGAGCTTTCAGGCGAAGCCTTGTTTGGAAATCTTTGTTCAAGAAATTTCTGGGGGCGGCTGCACTTGTCAGGCCTTGCCGCAGTGCCGGCGGCGGCTTGTCCCAACCATCGTCGCCACGGCTATCCTTTCTGCTGGGGACCCCAGTAGCAGCACGCTCCCACTCAGACAGACTAGCAAGTCCATGCAAGACCCGGGAGTGCCGTTGAAAGCACTCGAAAATTACTTTGTACACGGGAGCAGACGCCCCGCTGTGGTAGCGGTTGTGCTGAGTTGCATATGATTCGCGTTTGATGATCGGGGCTGCACATGACAATTTTGTTCAGAAGATTACGTGCGGCTGCTAATCCAGCGAGTCCTACTCTGCAGAGAGGCATTTGTGGGAGCAGCCGTGCAGTGCTTGCTGGCTGCTGCGAGCCCAAGCACCCTGTCACGGAATGCACAGGGTGATCCACTGGTGTAGCTGCGTAGCTATGTGTTGCGTCGTTTGCACGACCCTGAATGTTCACTTTGCCAGAGAAATCCAGGCATGCCCTGGATCTATGCCTTGGGCGCAGCAGCTGTTGGTTTCTTTGTCGCAATCTAAGTCATCCAAGTCCCATGCAGCCGAGCCCAGCTGTTTAATTCTCAAATTTCTCAACAAGAGCCAACAAGAGCCCAGAGTGTCTCAGCTACGCCAAGCACTGCCACTGATCACTGCCAACATCACTCCAGGGGCCGTCGATAGCCTCTCCTTCCTTCCGAACCTGGCCATCTGCGCACAATGCGCGCCTAAGGAGACATCCCCTCAGTGCAATTCGGTTCCTGGTAGAACTGGTAATTGATGGTAATTGTGGGATAGGATAGGACGGATAGGATTCCGAGGGCAAGCTTGACAGGTGAGAGGTCTTGAGGCCCGTGCACAGCCAAGGCGCTGAAATGAACTAATCCCAAGCCCAACGGAAAGGTGCTCCTCGTTGTTTTGTTTTTGCACCTCTGCGGATCTCTGCAGAACTTGATGATTCAAGGGCTGACTTTGTGTCTTTTTCTGTGTTGCGGAGGCCTTCGGTGAAGCTTCGACCAGTCTCCCACTTGCCCAAATTGCTCGTCGCGGATTCAAGCAGCCTGTGTGCCCTGACCCTGCCTTGGTTTTATCGGACCCGGTTGGCCACAACTGCATGCTCCTGAGAAAAGCGCTGATGCACAGATAGCAACCCCAGCAAACCTCCTGCAATCCTCGCATCGACCAACAAAGCCCGCAGAACCCACAAAGCCACGGGCCGCAAGCTAAACAAGTTCGACAGGACAGCAAGGTACAGTAGTAGCAATGGGAAAGTGGGTTCCAAGAAGAGCCAGCTCTCGTCGTGGAGAGTCAAACATCGCAAGAATATCCGCAGATGAATGCCGAAACTTCTTGCTCCGGTTTGTTCACAGGTGCTCTGGACAATTCTTGCTTCCAACTCCACTGTACCCCTGCAAAGCGTCGTTCGGCGAGGTTGAAAATTGCGTGATTAGGACCTTCATGGACTCGCCTGCAGGACTTCGAGGCCGCTGGCTTTGCCGTGCTGAGCCTTATCCTGGATCTCGGGGATCAGGCAAGATCACGACCGGCCCCACTTCTTCAAACCAAGTTCCCCCTGCTTGTGCCTTCCCTTGACGGAATTGTCGCAGCGAGGCCTCGGCTCGCATGGCATCCTTCATCGTCCAGGCCCGTAAATGAAGATTCTAAACGTCAGCCGAGTTCTCCGGCATGACAGGAAGAGTTGTTTCGACACCGCCCGTGTGAGGATCGCACCGGTCCAAAACCATAGCCCGACCCTGCCCGGAGTCGTTTTGTTTCGCAGCCCTGCTTGCTCGTCTGCTTCCCTGGGAAAACATTCCTGGCTTTGGGAAATTATATCTGGCAGAGACTCGCCCTTGGCAGGCCTTCGACCTCGGCTCCGGGGAGGCTACAGTTGGGGTCTTCATTTCTGTCTCTCGTTCACACTGATCATCCTTTCGGATTGGGCGCGTTTGCAGAGTCCCAGAGTCCTCGTCTGCGAGCATTTTCCAGTCCCTCCAGGACCGCTCCTGGGCACAGCTTCCTCTCTTTGTGGCGCTATGTCGCTGTGCCTTACTACTGCCGCTTCCGCTTTGCGTACTTCTCCGAGGCTCCTCCTTTTTTCGGGCATTAGAGGGTTGGGTTGAGGCTCGAGAAGGCAACTTGGTTTGAGAGGCAGTTTTGGATTCCAGCAGCGGTACGGTAAGACAGACTACTGTAGAACCCTCAAGCAGAAGGCGGAACATGCCGTCGTTTGTCGAAACCGATGCTGCGAGGCATCCAGCCAGTGGATGATGCGCAGGCAGAAAGAATCTCATGGTACCTGCAACTGCCAGTTTCTTGCGAGTTCTGCAAAGAAGCCTTGGCAGGCGGATCAGAACTGCCAGATGGAAGAAACCCTCTCGCCTTCAGGCAACCGCGACCGAGACGCTTCTGGATAGAAGGAAAACAAGGTGTCAGAACTGCGGGCAAACATTCGTAGGACAAGCAGAGCTGCAGTTGCCTTTCCAGCTTGGTTTCGATTGCAACTGAATGGAGAGATTGAGAGCACTCGGCCCAAGATGGGTCCGAGTGGTTCCATCCGTGTAGCAGCCCAGGCCTCAAGAGGGAAGGCACCAAAGGATGTGTTTTCCGTGTGCACCTCGTATTCCCTGCCAAGGGCTCTTCCAGGACAGACGAGTCGGTACTTTGTTGCGGGGGTGCCCAGTCTCGTTTCGTGAAATTGTAAGATAATTGGTTCGGTACTTGGGTTCCGTGAAGGGCTTAGGAGTCACGGTTAGAATGCAAGTTCAATGTTGCTAGCTTGCACAAGCACTGCGGGTACAATTCAAATTGCAAGTTGATTGTTCGCTATATATATATATACATATATATATATATATATATATTTATTTATTTATTTATTTATTTATTTATCTAGTATTCCTTTTTGTTGTACCAGAATCTCTTATTTTCACTACTATGCTTGTCATTAATACTAGTATGCTTGTGAGAAGTACGAGGATTCCTCTTATTAGCATGAGCATTCCTCTAAGAAGCATTCGTATTCCTCTGATTTTAACTAATATGCTGCTTGTTTGTACTATCAGTATAGTACTCCTCTTATTAGCACTTGTATTCGTCTTAAAAGTACTAGTATTCTTCTTGTTATTGTTGCTAGTACTAGCAGTCCGCGTATTGGTACAAGTATCCCTTTTACTATTCCTTGCCCACACCCAGAGACTACCGTGAGACTTGCTGGAGTGCCCAATGCCAGAGACTACTGTGAGACTCCCTGGTGTGCCCAAACTGTGAGACTCCCTAGTGCCCAACCCGAAAGACTACCGTGAGACTCCCTGTAGTGCCCAACCCCAGAGACTACCGTGAGACTTCCTGGAGTGCCCACCCAACCCCAAAGACTACCGTGAGACTCTCTGGAGTGTCCAACAGGACCTTAACGCCAGTCAGTGCATGACCCCATGGATCGTCCACCGACCTGAATCGAACGCATGTTTTGTTACGCGTACGGGGACCCCACGTCCGCATCGCCAGTCGGTGGTATGACCCCATGGGTCGTCGAATGACCTGAATCGAACACTCGTGTTTTGTTCCGTGTATGGGGACCCCGCGACTGTAACGTACTGTAACGCCAGTCAGTGGTGTGGCCCAAATGCATTTTCTGTAGGGTGGGGATGTTCGAAGTAAAATAATTATATGGTGCTAGTATCCCGTTGATTCCATTAGCTTTCTGCTTAGTAATACTAGAACTCCTTTCATTCGTACTACTACTCGTGTTTGACTGAAACCCTCCGCAGACTATTGAGTCAAGGTTCAGTGCCTTGCAGAAGCCCTTATTTTGCTATTTAATTGTTTGCTGGAACATTTCGGATTCAACTGATCCTGGTTGTGGAGAAACCACTAACACACAAGTCAATTCTTTGCAATGTCAGGTAGGGTCCAGGTCCCAGGCCCGGTCGAAAGCATTAACTTGCAAGTTAATTGTGTGCAGCAACATGTCGGGTTGAGGTTCGAGGCCCTAGAGAAACCATTAAATTTCAAGTTGATCGTTTCCTTGATGCAGCCTTCCGGAGCTTCCGGGCTGCAACAAGTAACTTTCATTTTAATTGAGGAACCCTTGCGCAATCACTGCATTCCCTCGTTTCGTTGTTGGAACTCGATGGACTCGAGCTCTACAGGCGCAGATGCCAAGATGCTGTTCCGTTCTGGTGTTAATGGTGGCCTTTGCCGGCGATGCAAAAGGACATCTCCAACATTTAGCAAGAATCGGCGTGTCCCGTGACTTGTAACGGCACGACAGGACAAGCGACCGCTGCCACTGAACTACTGCGATCCGGGAGGAGGCGTGCGCTGCGGGCTAGCGGGTGGGCTTTTCCGCGGTAAGGCCGACCGGCTGCCCACTTGTACAGCCCAAGCATCCTCCTGGAGTCAAGCTACAATACGCATGGCTTTGCGCTTCTATACTAGACACTTCTCTAACCTTCTACAGTGCTCGCTGCTTGTCTCGAAGCCGGCAGGATTCGAGATCAACGAGGATCGGTCCAGCCGCAAATCGGCTGAAGTAGACGCTTTGCCTGTGAAATCGGATTCGATGCGACCATTCTCGTGCTGGATTTGCCATAACAGCGATCAATGCCGACGATGGGATGCAATTTCCGCAGGTAGAAGTGTGAGCGTATCTCAAACTCGTGTGAGAGCCAATGCGCGTGACACCTTGTCGAACACTGCCAGCAAGGCACGGCGAGCTTGTCATCGATGAGGTGACATCGCTGCCCGACCTGCACTAATCGTTCCTTTTCGTTTACTCCCACGAGGAGAGCTCATGCCACTGAGCCGGAGGTGGCAGTCTAGCCGACTTTAGTCGAGATGTTTCAACATCAGTCCGACTTCTCTGCACCGTAGGTTGCCGCAAGCTTCATGAAAGATGGCGTCTCGCTCCGTGAAGCCATAAGACATGCTGTCGCAAGTATGTAGAGCAGCTGTCATTGCCAGAGCGATGCATCTATGAGGTTTCCGAAGGCTGGTCATCGGCTCGCAGGCTCACAGTAGGCCCACTTGGTCATTGCGCAGGGAAGATGCTGTAGCCTGTGATCAAGTGAGGAAGTCCAGATGGGGATGCTAGTGGCCTTTGGAGAACTGCAATGCTGATGCCGTGGCTTTTCATGGCATGCAGCAAAGCTCTCTTTGGTTCGCATCAGCTTGCAGAGAGAGAGAGAGAGAGAGGGAGGGAGGGAGAGAGGGAGGGAGAGAGAGAGAGAGAGAGCGCGCGAGAGAGCGACGCACCATGTGAGTCCAAGGCACGATGACGGCCTCAGTCACACGCCTTTGGCTCACGAAAGTGCGACAGACGGCATCAAAAGGGGCCCTACATCCGTTCTAATGACGCTCTGCATAAAGGATACTATCCTCACTGAGTCGAGCTCACAGAGTCAGAGTTTGGTGCAAGCATGACTCTGACACACAAGGCAACTGGAGGACTCCGATCCAAAGACTTCCAGAGAATCTGGATTCAACGAAGCCATACCAAAGCATCAGCACCTTCAAGCGGCAGCTCTTCTCTTGACTCCGCACCCAGGTTGCATTCGGGGGCTCTTGCCCGGATTGAAGGCCCTCCGGCGGCTTCAGAGTTGCAACCAAGGCATCAAGACGATCTGGAGTTCCATCAGTTTCGAACAGATGATGAGCTGCTGAAGCATGGCCTTCACCGAGACGCAAACTACCAGATGCCGAAGCTTGCTTGCAAGCAGCTTCTCTGCCATGTCAGTGAGCATCGACGCCTTCAGCTTGAAAAAGCTCAGGCACGATGATGTGAACCGAATGAAGCGGCCTCCATGGCAGCGGTCCTCGCCTCAAATGTAACTGCCTCAGATGGTTTCCCGTCTTTGAAGGCGGAGCGGCACTTGATTATACTTGATTATTTCGGTTTCGAGAGTGCCGTGTAAGCCTCGATCCGAAGATCCTCCAAGGCAGAGACGAAGGTGATGACAGCAATCTTCAAAGATCCGCTTTTGAGGCATCAACATCTTGATGATTGCACTTGGAGCGGTGGTCGTTCAGTCCACGACGCCAGCGCCTTCCATGGAAAAAGATTTCTGAATGGCAGCTACTCTAGTCCTAACTTTGCCGCTGTGTCAAAATGTTGGAGACTGCATTGACTATTCATCGTTTCTGACTGATGTGCAGCCCTGCTGCTCAGTAGGCTGCGATTGCATTCTGAAAAGCACAGAGACGCAGAGCATCGCAGAGCTGCATCATTCGCTCCTTTGTCGACCCCCAGCGTATATTGCATTGTATTGCTGTATGCCTTCGTTTAGGATTCCAAGATTCTTACAGTGTTACGGTCCCCCGATCTGTTCGCAATGGATGGCACGGGCTTCGTTGGCCCTCGAATCGAAATCTCAGAGCGTTTGCCGGAACTTGGTGCAGACATCCAGCTGGACTGGGATCAGAAGGCCTCAGACTGTGAGCATGTTTTGCACGCCGCAACAGAAAGCATTGCCCCTCGCCAATCAGAGGCCAAGCTGCCGGCATCGGCTGGTGTTGTGCAGGCACTTCGCTTGTTGTTTGTTTCGGAGCATGCTGAAGTGTCACCTTGACGAGGTTTGTTTCGCGATGCTTACTCACACGAGCTGTCTCTAGAAATACATCTAACACAAGCGTCACAGTTGCATCGTTTGGAGTCAGGAGGTTCGCACTGCCTGAGCTTTCAAACACCTCCGGTCACATCCAAAACCAGAGCACGAACGGTGCGGTAGCAACTGGCGTGCGCCGTCAGGAGAGCTTAGCGGGGGCTGCATGGGTTTGGACCGGTTAGAGACGCTTTTCGCTGTACTCCTGACAACTGGCACACCTTGACAACAAACAACTGCACGAAACTCCTCGATTTCTATCTCTACGCCAGTGATGATGGTCGCCCATCCTACACTTTCGCAGATTGAATGTGGTGAAGTGGAAGTCGCAGCAAAAAGCTTGAGCAGCCGCCTCTCATAAGGAGCTTTTCCAGCAGCAGGAAGCGAAGCTGGCAGCGACTATTGAAGAAGCTTGTCCACATTCAGAATGCAGGAGTAATTACCACTCATCACGAGCACATTGCACGAGCTTGCCGATCAGGTTGGTTTCAAGCAGCTTCAGGCCGGGACGTCTGCAGAGCTTTCGGCTGAGCAGGGGCCTTGTCAGCGTCATTGTTGTGAGCGCTAATGCTGTTGCACCCGGCCAGGACCTCCTTGCGCAGAGAAAATCCGTAAACGTCGGGCTGCAAGCTTTGCAGCCAACCTCGAAAAAGAAAAAGCGTCACAGGGCGGCTTGGCAGAAGGCTCGCACAATAGAGTCCGTGGGTTGTTGAGATATGTTGAGATGAATCAGTAGCGCCATCCGTATCATGCTCGGGAGCCTAGAAAGGACTGCCTACGCATGCCCACCCATCCGCTTAGTCCGAGCATTCAGGGAACCGTGACGGTCGTTGCTTTGTGCGGATTTGCAGAGGAAGCAAAGCAAACGCTTGACCTTGACCGCACATCAAACAAAAATGCTGCTGAAGTCGCAGCATCCCAGGCATGCGGCGAATCCACGGTTTCGAAATCTGACTCGGGCAGCAACGGCTCTGAGGCCGTGCAGCCTGCGGCCGTCAAGCGTGCCTGAGAGTCTGTGCTTGAAGTTGAGTTTCTTCAACATCGTTCTGGGAGGCTTCCGCCCTTGCTGAAAACCCGAACAGAGGGCGCACTAGCCTTCTCAATCTGGAGAGCTTGGAGGCGAAGCAAGAGACTCGAGTCACAGCAAAGTCTGCTGTTTAACAGCGTGAAGCTGCGTGAAAAGAATGGAGGCGCCTTCACGTTCCGTCTGGTCCGTGGACTGCTGCTCCTGGCTCCCTTCCGAGGTCAAAGCTGAGAGTCAAGCGGATAATTAGTTAAAATTGAAAACGAATCTTGCGCAGTCAGGAGAATCCTCCGAAGAATCTTCTGAGCCGCATCGCACAGAAGATGGTGAGCTCGTGGATGCAACTTTGCGGCACATGCACCTCTAGATCTTCGCTGCGAATGTCAATTCCAGAGTTTGGTCCGTATACTTCTTGCTGCACATGAATTTGTAGGATATACCCGGTAGGCAACTGTGCAAGCGACGGCTGAGGGTTATGCAGGTAGAGCTCTCATTGAAACTTAAACTGTGGTGTCAAGGTTCGAAACGTTCTTTGCTGGCGTGTTAGAGCCTCAGTCATTCAGCAGGCCGCAAGAACATGTTGCAAGAGAATGCATTGAAAACATGGGTAAGCTCCTGGACTGCACAGTCCTGCCATCACTGAACGACCGCACGCAACATGTGCGTGCAAGGATCATGACCAACTCTATCTTCATCGCTGTTCAAGTGGAGCTCTCTGCCGCTCAACCAGGCAGATTCGACTCCACTTGCCAGACCCAGTCTGTCAGGGACCAGAGACAGACCCCCGTGACAGTGAGGCAACAGTCCGATGCACAAGCTGGTCTCGCAGCTTTGCAGTACTTTGCACTTAGATATATTCCGGCTGTGCGTGCAGGAACACCTCCGAATGAGGGGATGTTCATCGTCTCCACATTCTATAGTGTGCTGCAACTTCGTCTGCAGCGCATGCTTGCGTTCATGGGATGCATCGGGGAAGCCTTTAGGCAAGAGGGGTCAGCGTCTGTCGAGCTGCATCCAGGTTCACAATAGAGCTTCTGACACGACTGGTGGCTGTGGGTCCTCGACTCTACTGTGGCCAGGACGAGCATGGACCCAGGGTACCTTCCAAAGGGCTGTGAATAGGCAGTGCAAGCATTTTGGTCCTAGCTGTATGAACCATGGCATGCAAGCGCATGCAGTGTTGGCTAGGACTGGGCCTGGACCTTGCTGGACACACTCGTGGCAGCCTGGCAGAAATCAATCCAGCATGCGACCAGATGTGATCACACAGAAGGTTTTCGGGGATGTAGAGTCTCAGCAGACCTCCAGGTCGCTACGAGCGTGTTCGAATTCATCGTGGAACTGCCGGTTCAACAGGATGCTTGGCTCATCATGCTGCTTCACACTCGCACCTGCCCCCCCCACGTTCTCAACGGTTACTAACTAGACTTCGGCAATGAAAGAACCGAGATAAGTTGTGTTCTTCCTTTCGCCGTTTGTCCAGGGGTCTCTCACACTCTCTCTCTCCCCTTCTCATGGCCTCCTTTGTCTTCGTAGGTCGGCCTCGCAACTTAGAATCTGAAGTACGGTGACCCTCAATAAAGGAGTGTTGGGCTAAGCACAGAACCTCGGAGTCTGCGACATGGCTGGATGTTGGGCCCCAAGAACTGAGTTCTTCGCTCAGGAAGAAGGGGAGGAAGGGCAAAGCCTATTTGGCAATATGCGCCTGCTGCGCATTCTACGGATTGCGAAGATCACCCGAGCAGTGCGCATCATTAGGTGGGGCATGGGTCTCGCATCGTGAAATCCATGTGAATGTGAGCTTGCAGCCCTCCTGATCAGGCTGGTGAAGTTCGTGAGGGCTCTCAGGTCGCTGCTCTTCTGCATCGGAAAAACCCTCAAGGCCATGGAGCCTTGGACTAAATCGGAAGCGGGTAAGTTGTTTAAGCCACTGTGGAGCTCTAACTGCACAGCTTTCGACACCATGAACTTGCCAAGGCATGGTCGGCAGCACTTCTCGTACTAATCATCTTCTTGCCGCTTGGCTGGCATGTGTCGTGACCGCTCAGCAGAGTTGGTTCCAATCGGAGCATTTCGTGAGTCCTTCTTGCTTCGGCCGTTGGCTGCGAGAGATGCAGCTGTCATGAGATTTGAGTGACGGTTTGCCAAGGCCTTCGGCGTGCCTCCTGTGATTTTCAAGAGTTTGTGATGTATTGGTAGCTGTGCTGAGGTTCGGCCTGGTTTTCACTGACATCACCACAGAGTACTTCGCAAATCCTGAGCTGCATTGGAACCCGGTGACTACAGGTGGACTTGCAAAAAACACTAGACCATAAACCCGAGAGCTGGCCCTGGCCCAGACTTTCTTCGTCTTCGCTTCAGCTCGCTGGAGCTCTCCATGCACACCCTCTTCGCCTCCATTACGGGAGGCCGAAGTATTCAGAAGGATGTAGACTTGCTCCTTTTTCCTGCGGACTCGCGCAGGCCCCAGGCAAATCGCTCTCAAAGCATGCACCGTGCAGCAGTCCAATTGCTGCCTAATATTAGATGAACCGACCGTCAAAGCGCGCAGAGAAGATTGGGCAGGGTTTCTAAGGCTATCATTTCGATACCCTGTCACTTCGGTACTTGGAAGGCTTCACATGGGTGGAAGCTCGCGATGCCTTTGCTGAGCTTAGCTTTGTTTGGGGCCCCCCGGCAAATATTGACGAGAAAGTGCCAAGTGCCGCAGTCATCCACGGCCCTTGTGCCATTCTGATTGATGCCATGCCCACAAGGTTCGGGTGCTTTGCATGTTGAGGGTAGGCTGGCCTGTTAGCACATGCAAGCTTGCGACGTTGTGAACCAACCTAGGCTTGATGTTCGAGGCCTTCATCTCTTTCTGCTTGTTCGCCGCTGCTTGGTCAACCCTGTAGGTCACTGATCAATCACTGGAAGAGTGGCTGTGCCTTAGTATAACACTCAGGTTTTGAACGTGATGACTGGCGTGTTGCTCGCCTTCGCAAAAGTCTGCTTTATTGAACTCTCGGTGCTGTCGCTTGCAGCATGCACTCTGTAAACCTGTCTCCTACCTGTCAGACAGTTGGAGTCTTGCAAGCAGCACTCCGTAAATTGCATCCCCTTACTCTGCTGGATTGCTGCATGCCCTCTTCGAGACAGGTTCTGCCAATCGGCCATTGAAAGCCGGAGCCTGAGCCATGCTGTGCACATGCTGTGTGTACTGTAGTGCGGGGCTCTGGCGATTCCGGATTGAAATTAGGCTTTAGAGTATCAAACACAGGCTGCTATGCAAGACGGCTGTTGCATCCGTTTGCAAGATGCCATTGCAGGTGCGGAGAAGGACCACGAGTTGAATTTGCAGATGTTGGCCCATGAAAGGGCGAAATACTTCCGAGCCGTGAAGCGGCTGTTCCAGCAGCCGCGCGCCCAGCGGAACTATAATACTTCTTCTGCAGGCTCCCAGATTGCAGTGTGCACATCACTGCAAACACATGTTTGTCTTTGGCCCGGCGCCCTCTCCCCGAACTGTCCATACAAGTTCAAGGGGCGCACGACAGGTGCCCTCCTCCCGACACTCAAGAGTCAACGTTTTGTATGCCTTCACATCACACCAACGGAGCGAACCCACCAGGAGATGACGAATGCGAATACTTATGTGAATCACTGCCCAGGCTGGACAAGAATGGCGATGGTGGTATAACTGTCGTTGAGTTTGAGGCAGAGCCGGTCAAAAGCAACTGACATTGCTGCGAAGTTGATTTCGTGTGGGGCCGCATGAGATCCCACCTTGATGCAGGTTGCCCTGCAAGATGCAACGCTATTGCAAGTGTTCGACGCATTGGAGATCAGTGCGGACGATGCTTGGGCTTCTAGGTCTCCCAGTAGTACCCTTTTACCCGTTTTAGTTTGGGGTCTCCTGTTTCTTTAATTTAAAGTGCTACTGCAGAACCTAGGCTTTGTTTACGCAGTTGGATTCGGAATCTTGGCAGCACTAGTCAAGCGAATGAAGTCATCTCAGTGCCTCATGCTCGGGTGCTTGATGCTTCAGGCTTAGGTCCTGGGCAACTGTTGTTTGTGCTGCGTGAGCCATAGCCATTGAACTCGTTTGAGGGAGAGGTGCGTCTTAGAGATGAATTGAACGCAGACACATCCTTTCTCAGAGACTCCCATTCATTTTGCAGAGGACGGCGATGCCCACGTGGATGCGGAAGAGTTTCTTGAAGGTGCCTTGCTTGAAACGAACCTGATTATCCAGTGTTAGTTGAGGTCGTCGACCGACGGTACTCACTGCAGCAACTATACTTGAATGCTGGCCTTCGGTAAGATGCATAGTCCAGAAGCTGGACCAACCCGCTGAAGCAGGAATCACAAATATTAGAAGTTGCCAGGGTGCGAGTGTGAGTTTTTCATAAAGTTGTGGACCTTGCCTGTGTCAGAAAGCTTTCCGTCTCGGCACTCGATTCTCGAAAGTCTGGCAGGCTGCATGCTTCTGAAGGGACCGGCGAGGTCTGTAGATGCCGCTTGGCGGCACATAGAGCTGGGGGCGATGACTTTCCATTGATTTTTGCCACAGTCTCAGCCCCCTCCCAGGTCATGGGCATCAAGAGGGACCTGGCTGTTGTGAAACAGCGCTTGGAGCAGCAGGCAGCAGTTCATGGCAAGAGAGTGGCAGTGCTTTCGGGTGAGGGCAGAAGCTCAACTGATGCGACGTGTGGACAAGTTGAAGGTGACTGCAATGCTGGGGATGAAGAGCAGCGGCTAAGGTGTCCCAGCCTTAGGTTTTGCAATCTAGCCATGTGCGGTGAGGCGGTGAGGCATTTCTGCGGGGGCATTGCGGCATAGTGCTGCACTGCACATCACGTGGGTTGCGGATGGCGCCGTGATGCTGTGGAAATGACAGGAAGCAGCTCCTCGGAGCCCCGAGTTGTGCAGACCTGCTCGGCTAAGGCGTCCGAACCCTGCCGCTCCAAATCTCGTAGCTGTTTTCTTCCTGGTTGTCACTAGAATGGCGAGATGTCACAATGGCATCTCACCGGCGCAGCGCTGGACTATGCCAAAGGCAAGCACCAGAATGCAATGACGACCCAAGGCTTGCAAAGAATTGGGCCGGTCTGTTGTCTCTCAGACTCTGCACAGAAGCTCCATCCTGGACGCAGTCAACATTAACATTGTGCATCTTATCAAAGCACCCGAAAAAACGAGGGCTCCCTGTGCAGCTTTCTGCCAGCATGGAAGTCTGCAGAATCGCAGATTTGCAAAGCTTCTGAAGTCACCCATCGCCCCCGACTCCCCGTCGATGTCTATAGAGCACGTGGTGAGCATGGGCCTGGAGAGACTTGGAGAGACCGAGATGAAACGGATTAGCATTGACTGCCATGCAACCATGTGAAGACATAGGACGAAGTAGACTCGAAGGCAAACCTTGCAGCTTCATTCGGCTTGTTTTGGCATGAGGCACCACCTCGTTCTGGTGCAAGCCATTTCGCTCAAGAAAGCTGCAGAAAGCTTGTGAGTCCGTTTCTGGTGCAGGAATGACCCAAACCGAAGTATCGCAGAGGTGCATCCTTTACCCGAACAGTGAACAGCTGTAGTTAATTGCCAACCGGTCGTTTCAACGAGATCGGTCATGAAGGGAAGTAGACTCGGAATCAAAGGACAAGAGACTCCACGGCACAGCAGGGATCCTGACGCTGTGCTATGTTCCGCGATGGTCGTAGCCGACTCGCCGCTGCAGCGACAAAGCGCAAACAGACCCCCGGTGCCGGCTGAGGAGGATCGTGGGTTGGTTTTTGCTGCATCTCTTGAAGCCGCTGCCTCTCAGGAGTCTGACTGCACAAGGCCGGCGATCGGGACCGCGGATGCCGTTGACTTGGACGCAGGGAGGGGCCTTTGCGCTGACACTCGCAAGAAGGGGGCAATGAAAACAAAAACGGGAATTAGCCTTTGCGGCAGAAGCACCAACATCGGAGTGGGACGACTGACAGCCATCAGCTTCCTAGGTCCAACTGCGAGACGACATGCTCTTCAAACGCTTGGAGGACTGGGGAGCAGAAGCTGTTCGCTTCCCGAATGGCTCAAGCAGGATACAATACTGTACAGTGCTGCTTCCGCAGGAACAGGTCACGTGATGCCCAGTAGATACACGGATTTGTCGTGTAGTCTCGAGAATCCGCACGCTCCCGGCTGAAAAAGTCGAGCTCTGCAGGAGTGGCTTTCGCGAATGGAGGCGTGGCCGGCGTGGGAGCACAGAGTCGCTCTTCCGGGGCGACTCTCGCAGAGAGCGAGCAACCGAATTCCATTCGGCGTGCTGCAAGAAGATTTTGACGACATGCAGCACGACGCATGCAAGCGATGAACTGCCAAGCTCCTGAACGGCAATAAAAGCAATTCAGACAATAGATCTGTCTGCAGGCGGTTATCGACAATGCCCTCAGCACATCGCGGCAGGCATCGTCGCAGAAACAAGCGCAGCTACAAGTCTCATGCATAATTTGCACCCCAGAAGCAGACCGTGTTTAGCCCCATTTAACGGCAACACACCCTGAGTTTATACTGTGTCTTGTGTTCACCGGAGACGAGACAAACGAAGATGCACTGGGAGTTCCATTCCACTTGGGTAACTTGTGTTCTTGAAGGCTCATTCTGCAAACCGCTGTATCTTCAATGAGTTGCATCGAAAGTCGAAGCGGCAAGGACGACCAAAGTACAGCTCAAGCATACTCGAAGCACCAAAGTCGAGACAGGTGCTGGCCTGTTCGCAGTAGTTGGTCTTTTAAAACGCCTGAAACATACTTAGTGGATGGCCGGAACCGATGAGGAGGTGATGGTTTCTGTGCCATGGGGTAAGGGTTAAACTGCCCCAACTAGCGGGTGGGGGAGAGTTAGCAATCCGGAGCATATTAACGTAATGTGGGCCAGAGGAAGCGACAAGATCTGGAAGGGGAAGGGGAAGACTTGCTACACGTGTCTCAGGTACTAAGTCCCCTCTCCTTGGCAGGTCAAGCCTTTCTCTCCACGATCTTTCTGCTCATCGGCCGGCGAGGCTTCTCTGGACGACGCACCCATAACAAAGGCCTGGTGAGAGCCGTTTTAAGGCTGCAGTTTCTGTGTGGTTTTCTGTCGTATCTTGATCTGTGTAGACTCCATAAGCTGCCTTCTTCAAGTCCAGGACACTTTGTCCGAGCACTTTCCTTTGATTCGTTCCAAGAGGTCCGAGATCATTTGGACGGTCTTCTTAATGCTCTGGAAATCCTAGAAGCAAAAGTCCTCAGACTGTCCATGGTCGACAAGCGTGTCCTGTGCAGTTAAACGCTAGCTCTGCTCATGCCCCCAGGCTCGAACCAAATGTTTTTCATTTTGCAAGCTGAAGTCCTTGCGGCAGTACTCTCGGCAAGTCAACACAGGATTTTGCGGTGCGGTATAAGACAAGGTGTCAAAGAGTTTCCTGAACCTGGCGAGACATGTTGGCAAGCCGCTGCTATTGCCCATGATGTGCAAAATTTAATGTAACATTGTCCACGGTTGTTATCTGTGCACATGCAAACACGGCACACCATTCGTGAGGTGCGGCGTAAAACCCGAATGGCCACCCGAGACTCCTGGGACAAGGACTTGGAGGACTGTGCCAACTGAGGGTGTCTTTGTCTTGCCGCGTTGCCGCACAACAATCAGAAGCTACTACTTTCTCACTACTGGATGGTTCTTGTCCTGGCACGGTGTTTCGCAAGGGAGGAACTAGGTTTCCAGCTGTCGGTTCAGGACAAGAGACCACAGCGTCAGGTCTTGCCGGCTGCGGATTCACCTTTCACCAAGCTTTGAAGCTTGGAATTTTAGATTTTAGAGATTGAAAACATCTTGACGTCGAAATAGCAAAAGCCGGCATCAGCAGCAGCAGCGGAACTTGTAAGACCGCAGATCTTGCATCTCTGTTGTCTTGTCTGCGTCAACAACACGCCGGTTTCACCATTCCCATGCCGTGACTCTGACGTTTAGGAGGTCCCAATACCGCTTCGACCTTCTGCCCGTAACAGGGAGAAGAAAGCCCATCCGCCGCCAACATATTGCCGGATTTGCCCGAGGAGCCTCTCAAAGTTTTTGTGACTAACGGGTTGCAAAGTCAAGGCTGAGTTGAGGGGCACAGGGAGATTGATGTCGGAGCAGCCTGAAGCTCGAGTTCAGCAGCTCAGAGTGCGCCCGTGAAAAAAACTGACTCCACCGTGGGAAGCTCCACTCAACACTAGATACCAGCTGCAGGACAGGCCGAAGTTTACATCCACACGGACGAAGGCCCGAGAAGCACCAAAAACAAAAGTGATGGAACTGTGGGCACGAATGGTTTGGAGATTTATTCCAAAGACTGCAACTCCCTGCAGGGCCTCGAATCGCAGGAGGTTCCTGGCTTGAGGCCGGGTGTGGGTCTGCGACAGTGGGGTGGGTGATGCTCAAGCTCAGCAAGCGGGTACCAGTGAAGAAACTTCATGCTGTTCGGGGCACAGCATATGCACATGCCTTGCAGCTCAAAGGCAACAAGTGGCAGGCTGCATGTCTGCGTCTCAGCAGTAGCCCGCTAGGGCACCACCTCATCGCATGGCTTGCCCGGTTTCCGATTCATGGTGGTCTCAAGCTTTGCAGAGGCAGACAATGCTCGCAACAAACCTCGACAAGGAGGACCTGGAGACGTAGGGAATTTCTCACGACAGGTTGGCAGGCAGAGGTTATGAAAGAGCAACAAGACTTTTGGCACTCGGTTGTTGACAGGATGAAAAGCTCAGCTTTCCACGCAGAGTTCTTGCTCGCATCGTGAAATGCTGGCTGCGACTTGTTTGCAAAACAGCTCAGCTGCTTCACACACTCCGAGCAGAGACAGGTAGCAGTGTCCATGATGGCAAGAAATCTCGGCCAGAGCCGAGGTTTGAGGCCTTCTTTGCACTCGTGCCTGAAGCTTACTTCGCTTGGCACAGGAGATCATGGGAGCCCTGCGGCCCTGCCAGGATTCTCTCAAACTCGGTCTTCATCGCAATTCAGGTGGAAGCCACCGCAAAGGATCCAGGCACCTTCGATAGCTCGAAGCCTGCAGAATCTGTCCTTGACTTGGCTGAGCTTTAGGCGGTGGGAAAGGGGGGCACGGGATCGAGCCTTCCAAATCCCGAATGCTGCCTTCGAGTGAAGTTGTGTGCTCCGGGATATGTCAGAGGAATCAATCTTGCACTTCGGCAATTGCCAATAATTAATTCTGCATGTCTTCACTAGATCTGGATGTGTTATGTGTCTCACTCCCTGTGGTCTGCACGGCCAAGACATCGAAAACAACGACATACAAGCATTTCGAGAAAGCATGGGAGTACATGGGCTTTCCGGCGGCAGAGCCCCATCGTCAATGCCCAGGGCGAGAACATGTAGGCATCCAGTCTCCCTGCACGAAAGGTGCAGAGACTACGGTAGTCTGATTTCACCTGGAGCAGGTATCGACCAGGATGTTGGTTACTTCGTTGTGGGCTCGATCTACACTTTTCTGCCCTGCCCCAAAGCCGATTCAATGCTGCTTCAACTAGATCAGCGGTTGTGGACGTCAGATGCTCAGGTTTACAACAGAACTTGTGCTCCGAGTGCTGGTCTTCGGCCTTACGGTCTTCATTGGACCAGTGCCTTAGCTGAGAGAGACTTCGACTTCGAGTCGCTTGAAGTTCCAACGTGCCCGGTGGTGCTGGTAGCTGTGCTCCCACTGCTACAGAGGCCCCAGTCTGTCGGCAGAAGCCCGCTGGCTACCTTTTTGCATTGCACTCCAAGTTGTTCCAATCGCATAATTTGCCGAACGCCATGTCCGCCCCAGAGACTTAACTTCCACGACGACATCCCAAGATGTGGCTCACGGGTGCGTAGTGGCTGCGTTCAACGGGGGGCTTCAATCTCGTGTTGTCCTGGCCATTGTTAGACAGCTCTTGCTTGTGTGCTCAAGCACAGGACTGGGCCTGGCTTCTTCTGGATTTGCTTGTGGCGTGGATCTCAGAGTCGCAGACCACATTTACGCTGAAAAGGTAGCTGCGGAGCCATGAAGGAGTCGATTTCCTTTCCGAAGAATCTGCACTCGCAGCAGTTATTGCACGCAGACAATTGCGAATCTGCAGCCACGGGGAACTTGGGGAGGTCTCAACGCACACTGCTGTGAGTGGTGTTGTTGCCATGTGGGAATTCCAAGACAGTAGAAACTGTGAATAGTTACATAGTTCCTGGTGCAGTCCATGCTCTAGGGTCGGTCGGTCGGTGGGTGCAGATAGACAAGTTGATGCAGACACGCACATGCGCAACTATGTCATCTCGCAGGTGTCGTCGAGCATTTTTGAGTTTGTCTTGGAGCTTGCTTTGCAACAGCAGGAGGCTCGATGCTGCACAGCTGGTGCTTGTAAATATGCGATTGGCAAGAAAGATGAATCTGGCATATCAACTCAGCTTCCGAAGTGATTACGGTGAGTACGGGCACACGGCGGCAGAGCTGTACTTTGAGCTGCGTGCCTGCAGGACAGCACCAGTGTGCTAACAAATATGCGGCTTCTACGGATCTTGCGCATTGGAAGAATCACGCGTGCCATACGTGTGGTGAGGCCAAGGGTTGAAACGGGGTTTATGACTGCTTCATGTCATCGTGTCATGAATGTGCAGTGACACATCCGGGAAGCACGCACTTTTATGTGTGTGCAGCTGGTAAGAACACAGATTGTCTGGCTCTTTGCATTGATGTCCATGACGGTGGTAGGCTCACTGAGGTCCCATCCTCACCGTTGCCAGCGTTATGATCATTGCAAAGATCAGTACTAGCATGTGGTCATGAGTCGCATCGCTTTCACCTTACCCATGCGACGAGTCGTCGTGAAGTCCTAGTAATGGTCGTGGCCGTAGTCTTTGTAGTCACAAGATGCTCGTTGCTGTCGTCCGATCATCGTTGTCATCGTCATCTCGAGCATTACCACCGCGATCGCCATCATCATCATCATCATCATCAGCAGCAGCAGCGCACTCATCGTCTCGTCATGAAGTCATGCCATGTCATGTCATGCTCATTCTGCGGGAGGTTCTTCTCGGGCCTTGCTGTGTAGGAGAAGTGATTGCTCCTCCTGTGCAGGCTTGTCAAATTTATCCGGTCGCTACGGCAGCTTCTATACTCCATCGGACAAACCCTGAGAGCTATGGAGGCTTGTCCGACTTAGCAGAATTTTAAGCAAACAGCCTTGCAGAGAAAGACAAACCACGGGACATCGGCAAACAGCTCCTAGATTCGGCATCTTGTGGTGCCTAGGACCAGTTCGGATTAAGCCTAACTGGGTTTGCAGGGTTTCACATGCTTTTCTGTTTGTTGTTTTGCCAGACTGTCCGCGGCTTCAGCTTTACAGTCCGTATCTCAGGCATGGTCTGTGGTCCTTCTGGGTCTCATCATCTTTCTGTGCCTGGGCTTAAGAATTTCGAGCAGGCACATAGATTTGTTTTGAAGTCCTTTCGCAGGTTTGGCCTGATATTCACTGACATATCCAGCGAGTACCTTACACGCGATGCGACTTGGTTGGAGAACGGAGGAATCACATGACGTTTGCTTGCGCACCGTCTGCCAGCAGACGGTAGCCAATTTCCGGCCTCAGGTGATCGAGATCTCGGAAGAATACGAAGGCTGGGGACAAGCTGTGCTGTCGCAAATTGTAGGCTCATTGTATTTGCAGCCTCCTTGCGGTCTGTTGTCGAACGGTGCGCACTTGTTCGGCCCGATGGCAGGCTTCATCGTGAATCGATTCGGCGGGCTGGAACGGTCGATGCATACGCTTTTTGCATCTGTTACCGGAGGCCTCAGGGGAGAAAAAGAGTCGACGCCCACTGCAAATCAAGCATAGGAGCTCGGTGCAGACCCGTCGCTGCGCAGGCTTGACTTGGATCGAAGCCCTCGATGCCCTTTCCCACATATCCACAGTTTGGGGTCAGTAGCTCGGGCCTTCCCGTGAAAGCAGTGACCACGAGAAGCCTTTTCCAAGGCCTGCTGTTCGAAGCCTACATAGCCTTCTGCTTGTTCGCGGCACCTTGGCAACTTCTCGGGGAAGCACTCTGCACATTGTGCTTGACCTTTGAAAGCCGTCCAGTTGGGCCCAAGGTGCTCAATGTGATGACAGGTCCGGAAAGTCAAGCAGCATCAGACGGATGATAACATGCTGCATCATTTTTCGCCATACAGGTGTATTTTGTCAAAGTGCTATGGAAAGCGCAGCACTTGGGTCGAGTTGCGCCCGTGCATGAATCGATGATGTCAGCAAGCTTTCCGGCTGTGTGCAGCACTCAGGTGCAGAAAAGGACCACGAGCTTGTTCTGCAGAATGTTGTCCAGGAGAAGGCAAAGTACTTCCGGGCGGTGCGTCGACTGTTTGCACAGACTCTCGGCTTCACAACTGTGAATCAAAAACGAGTCCAATGCGCAACTGTACACGGTGCCGACTGGCAAACGCTTATGAAGCATCGTTTGGGAGACAACCCAAGGTTGGACCAGAATGGGGACGGTGGCATCACTGCCAAAGAATTCGAGGCTGTAAGTGGGCAGTGCTGTTGCAATCACATTCTGTGCCAGACCGACTATCATTCAAAGGTCGCACTGGAGGATCCTGCGCTGATGCACGTGTTTGATGCATTGGAGGCAAGGCCTGCGTCAGCCTGCTGTCCATTTCGCACACTATCACTACCACTATACTACCGCAGATCAGTGCCGACGATGCGTGGAACTTGTTCACGCAGCTCGATTCAGAGCTTTGGCTGCAACTATGGCTCTAGCAGCTCTAGCACTCAATCATCAATTATTGTAGGGCCCGTGCAGGCACGGCCGGCAGGACACGAACTCTAAGCCTGAGCTCTAAGCCACATGTGCTCCGCATGCCGCACCCCACCCCGCCCACGCGCGTGCCGTACGCACGCATCAGCAGCATCATTTTGACCGTTGGTGTTTCCTTTCCCTTGTCTTGCGGGATTTGAAACCCCAAACCCAGCAGCCCGGACAAACCGATGTACCTGAGCCTCAAACCGCAAACCATGTAGAACAACATTGAACAAGGACGCGATACCGGCGCCAACTCCAAAACACGCACAACGTCGCCCTGCACTTGATAGCCCGCTGCGGGCTCACCGGGGGCGCATGATGCGTATGATGCTCGCCGGATGCCCTTCTGGGGTCGTTCACGGGTACTACCGCGGGGCCGGTGAGCGCTGTGCGGCATGGGAGTTTTGGGGGTTTGAAGGGGTTGGGCTTGCCTCGGGTGAGGTGTGGGCATTTTGGGAGAATTCAAACTATTATTCCATACAACGAGCTGGTGGGCGTTGTGCGAGAGCAATGAAACCAGACTAGGACTATGGGCGGGGCCGGTGGGCGCTGTGCGGCGAGAGGGTCCTGGGGTTTTTGGGGGGTTAGGCTTGCCTTGGGTGAGGCGCGCGCGTCTTGGGAGAAATCAAATTACTATATTAGAAAGCGGCGAAACCGGACTACTGGGCGAGAGCAATGAAACCAGACCATAATCGGTGCCGGGAAGGCTGCGGGTCCTGGCTCCTGAAAGGTTGGGCTTGCTTGCTTTAGGCTGCAATTAAATTGCATTATATACCTACACAACTAAAAGCAATGAAACCGAACTAAGAGCGACGTATTCAATTCTACAACACGTTGCTTCGGACTGGCCGGGGGGCGGCGGGGGCGGGGCGGTGGTGCGCGCTGCAGGGCCTGTGGGGCCTGAGGGGTTGGGCTTCTTATTGGGCTCATATTATTTACTGCATGCTTCCAGAGTAGGGTGCAAACACAGCTTCAGGGGCGCCGGGGGAGGTCGGCGGATAGTCTGGTCTTCTCATACCGCATTAAAAAGGATCAGTTTACTTCATGCATTCTCTCGCTCCGCGCGCTTCTTTGTAAATAAGTTGGCCTTTTCTGCTGTAGGATAGAACGATTTTGGTTATATTGCTTGGCTTTTATTGATGAATCTCATGCATGCTCTTTGTCTTGTGTACATGAGTCAAGAAGTCCTTTACAAAATGCTATCGTATTTTATGGTCTAAAATGTCAACAGATAACTAAGCTTGGGAATTGACTGGAAGACAGCAAGCTTACGAGATACATGTTTCTTGAGGTTATAACCGGGCTCGATTCTAGTTTCGGCCGCCAGTCCGTTTTGTGTCTGATTAGTCAAAACAGGCATGCATTCGTTACTTCTTTGTCATTGAGTCGCAAACGTCGTAGTCGTAATCATGTTGATATAACACAATAGGCTTGCCATCACCCATCATTTGACTGGCTGGGTAGGCTTTCTGCAACACCGCCGTCAGAAGTTTAGACCCTGCTTCGACGATATCGCTCTAGCACTTCACCGAGGATGGCGATGCCCACGTCGATGCTGAGGAGTTCCTGGAAGGCGCGAACAGCAAAAGGGGTTCGTTCACGCAAACCGAAGCTAATTCGGTACTGGCCAGGCTGTATGCTTCTGAAGGGACCGGCGCGCTCGATAGACGAAGCTCGGCAGGATTTTGGTTCCGTGCTTGGTATGTTTGTTCCTGCCTTTGCTTGCGCAGGTCATGGGGATCAAGAGGGACGTTGCTGTTGTGAAGCATCGCTTGCAGCAGGCCGGGAAGAGGAACTGAGATGTGACCCACCGTGAAAAGTGTCATGACCGTGGTACAATTGTGAGAGTTTCAGGTCTTCGCCACACTGAGACATTCAGGATGAAGAAGCAGCCATGCCTTGATGCTTCCACCGGTCCGGCCATTGCGCGAGCTTGATTCCAGAGCATGCATCTCATGCGAGCCGGCATAACCACAGGGTGCCTGCGCTGGAACTCTAACGGAATGCAGCTGCTGACAGCTGGTGCGAAAAAGAGATTGTTGCTTGCCTCGTGCCCAAGGCACCGGGCAAGCGTGTCGGTTTGGTCATGGCGACTGCACTGTCAGTTGTCCCACGAAGTGGGGGAAGGCAAAGGTGTACCCAATCTCGAGAAGCATGCAGGCAATACAAAACACGTCGATGGGCATGCAACCAGCCAAGATCAGCACCTGAAAAGACACGGCATTGTTCGCAGCCATCAGGGCACATAGAGTGCGCTGGCCACACCAAGCGTGTAGACAGGATTGAAAATGGCAGGGCCGGCTTCGAGATCATCCAGAGAATTGTTATGTTGTTCCTACTTGGCATGCGAACAACCTCGCAATCTCAATCTTGACGCACTGCTCAGCCAGAGTCTGTGGCGCAGGGGGCGCCTTTCCAGCCGAATCCTTATCCGAAGCACACTGCTACTAGCTCGCTGGCCACTGATAGATTTCTCGGCAGATGGCCTGAAATGTGCGTGGAGCCCAGTGCAATCGAAATTTCCTGGGAAGGAGTGAAATGCCTCTGTTGAGCACGAACATGCGCAGAAGTTTCGCAGCCAGGCGCCGTCAGGGACTTGAAGCTGTCAGTGATCTCAGAGGGCAAAAAGGTGCCCGTGGGCTATGCAGGCAGGTCGGCGTTTCGGCACCGTCCTGGCTGAAAGTGAATGTCACAGGCCATCCAGCACGAATTCGGACAGAAACCTTCGCTCCTCGCCTTCGATTGGGTTTGCATCCGCTTCGCCGGAAAGGAGAAAGCTTTGAACCATTCGGCCTTTAGTGCATCAAGACTGCACCGACTCGCAACGCTGAAGTACAGCATGCAAGGGCAGCGTAGCTGGCCAAACACGATAAAGGCAAGACCCAAGCTCGACCTTCATCATCATTCACAGCGGGTCTTCAGGCCCTGACACACACACACACATTCACGCACTCGCTCGCTTTGAGCCATCCACGACTAGCCGACTGAAAGGTCGGAGGAATGCGTCACGAAGTTAAGCCAGACACAGCCGAGCGAGTTAGGGTACAGTGCACGCCAGCATGCCCGAGAATGTCATGCCTGAGAGAGGCAGGTACTCGTATCTCGAACTAGGTAACCCGAGTTGATATCGCGGTGCAACTGGCATTGATCTCCTGTGCCTAGACCTGAAAGGCTAAAATCCAGCATGCATGAGCTTCTGTCTGCTTAAGCGACATAGCACCCGCGCGCGCGCAGACACACACACACACACACAGACACACACAAACACACACACACACACACACACACACTGTGACCCTGCTCCCTCATTGCAGAGGCAGGTTTCATACTCCCCTTGGTGACTTCAACACGGGGGATGCATGCTGCTGCTTGCCGGCTGCTTGCTGACCTCGCCCAGGAAGGCTCGATGTTTTTTGCTCATCGCCCTCCAAACGGAAGCAGTGCGCCATGGGCAGGGGCCCTACTCGTTGACTTGGTCGATGTTCCGCTCCGTTCTTGCCTCTGCGAGGCATACCGCGAGCGCCTTGAAGGCAAGGGCTCGCCAGACTGGCTTTGGGAGGTCCCGCCGATGCGCTTCATTTCCAGGAGAATCCATAGAGTCCTGTTGGGTTGATTTCAGGCTTTAGGGTTTAGGGTTTAGGGTTAAACCCTAAACCCTAAACCCTAAACCCTAAACCCATTCCCAGTCTGCACAGTTTCGAGGCGATCGCCTAGCAGTTGGGGAACTAGAGCGTACCAGCAAAGCTGAATATTCTTCAAGCGAAAGTTCGTGAACAGCTTGCTTCAACGGTGTCGATCCACAGGGACAAGGCTAGATGACATTTGTCGTGTAGTTCAGCCGCCCATCCTATCATGTGGATAATGACTCTGTGCCGAACCCTCTGTGTGCAAAACAGCTGAGAGAATCGAGACGCAGCTGCAACATGTTTGGCTCCATCGCCGGCTTCTCGCAAAAGTTCCTCTGTGACAAGGTCCAACTCCACGGGCGCTTCTTGCGCAAACCCCAGGGACCCGTGTGGCTCAGGCGAGCGGATTGATTCCTTGCTCTCCACACTTCAGCTTGACTCCTGCGGAGGGCAGAGCTCCGCGACGGGCCAATGCAGCTGGGGCTCGTCTCCAGGGCATTGTGCCGAAGCCTTGGAGCGACCAGTATTGGAGAACTCCAGTCAGATGCAAGGCTTCCGGCAGTCTCAACTTTCAGGTCGTGGAATCTTGAAGTTCGCACGCATGATGGTCACAGTGCCATGTTTGCGGGGCTGCTCTCGGTTTACATGTTTGCTTCAGATTTTCTTGGCCTGACCATCCGAATGGAGTCCCGATGGATTCAGCTAGCTTTTCAAGATGGGAGACATGCTTGCTCTTGATACCAAGCTTGGCTCACGGACTAGTGGCTGCACGCTTTCTGTCTTGGAGGCTCAGCGACGCGGTGGTGATATTTGTTTTGCATTTGGCGATGAGGCGCCAAGCTTTGCAGGAACGCTACAAGATTAATTCTGCTGATGTTCAATGTACTTCCCAAGTCTTTTCATGAGACCACAGGAAAAAGGGTGCTGCGCCAAGGCCAAACAGCGGCCATCCATTTCACTTCCTGTGCTCCTGCTAGATCGAATATTTGTCAGCTGCTCGGCACGGGCTCGCAATGGCTTGCATGCCAGGCAGCTGCGCAAGGCACATTCATATGCGCAGGTGGCCGACCGAAGTCACCCTCTCCCGGTCGGAGGTGATGAATCCAAGGAGGGATCTCTAAACCACACAAGTCAGGAATTCTGTGCAGCTGAGTCCCGCAACGCACAGGGCACTTGGCGGTTGGTTGGTGACGACTGGGTGCGCCTGTCTTTCATGACCAACTTCGGCTGGCAAAAGCATACTTTACAGGTACCCATCGAGCGCAGCTCGGTTGTCTTTGACAGCAATACCTATGCAGCTTGGCTGAAGCACTGGGACTGGAAGCCCTGCCAACGGTAGAACGCTTTACGGCTTCTGACCGGAGACTGCTAGGTCACCGTGGTGCTCGCAACTAGCTACATGGACTGGCCGCATGCTGAGCGCGTTGCAGCGAGTTTTGCAGGCTGCAAATCGGTGGCGGTAGCTTGTCGGTTGGACATCGGCCAAGCGCAAGCTTTGAGTGCCCAGGACGAACTGGCAGCTTTCTAGCATTCCTGGACTTGGTGCTTGTCGCTTACAGAGCCGTGAAACGGTATTCGAGACCCCTGCCACAAAGCAGCGATGCAGCGGCGCACCAAGACTCTCTCACTGGAGACTTTCTGGGGAGACCAGGCCAATACTGTTGAACCCAATAAACAACTCAGCTGGCAGCTTGTTTCCTGCAGGGCGCATGGATCACGCTGTGCGAACTGGAACCGGACGAGTCTGTGAGGCAGCTCCGGGTGCAAAGTCCACATCAGTATGTTGTTTCAAGCGGCAAAAGACAAAAGTCGCTTTGAAGACATGTGCCGATCCGCTACTCGCGCAACCGACGACTACCGAACGCCCGTGATTGCTGATGCACCGAGATGGCTGGCGATCAAGCCCTATGTTAACGAGTCTTCCCGATGTGATGTCGCAGCGAGATGGTCATATGCCATGCTGGGATGCTAACTCCGATGCAGCTTTCATGGAGCCTGTATGTTCGGTGAGTCTGGATGTCACGGTACTGTAGTATTTGGATGTCGGTCAGGACCTTCTTCTTGGAAGCGAACCTCGAGTCCGTGAAGGAGGGATGAATGCTAATTGACGGAAGCCGTCGGTTTTGGCTGAGTGACACCGCATGAACGAAAAAGTCGAGCACATGCGCCATGACAGGTCAGTGCCGAGACTCCTCGTCCATCAACAGCCCCCTAGCTCGCGATACAGATGACGCAACATGACCATTGGTAGAATTGCTGAGACTCTTTCGTTGGAGACAGAGTCTCGCTCAAGACGGCTGCACCTGGTTGCTTGAGGGCTCCTCAAGTCCGTGGCCTTAGGTTTATGATGAGGATGACTTGAAGCACGGACCTCAGATTCTCTTGACAGCGGCCAGATTCGTGCTGCAGATGGCCATGACTTGCCCAGGGTAGAAGAAGTGCTTGTGGCGGCAGCCGCAGATGCGAACGATGATCAGAATCAAAAGGCGCACAGTCGGGCCAGCTGCGGTGTGGCCAAATGCAACATGAACACCACGAGTGGCGATTTGCTCTGAAGCGATCTGGTGTGTATTAGATTGTGGGCGAGCCTTGCAGGAAAGCTCCAGCAGTGATAACGAGGGCGACCAAATGGCACGTCAAAGGACTGATCTGACAGAGACGATGTAGAAGGATGTGCAACGCTGCTGCTACAGGGTTGTCCTTCACACAAGTGACGAATAAAAACGAATTAGATCCACTAGATCCGTCTTCAACCATTCCTCTTGCTCACCCTGTGCTGCTGCCACGTAAGGGATGCAGAACACCCACGGAGCCCGATTGTTTGTTGCTTTAAAGATTTGGAGACAGTTGATGTTGTCGCCTTGCGAAGTCTTGCATTCGAGCGTGACCTGTGAGAGGACTCCTTACGACTTAGCGGAGTCCGACATCGAAATGGAAGACTTGTGCAGCGATGTTCCGCTTGAGCGCACAAGCCTAAGCGAGCTTGCAAGCGTGAAGATCTAACAATCTAGACGGGGAAAGCTCTTGCATGTCCAGAGCTTTTTGGCCTGCCTTTTTTTGGCATTCCGTGTTCGACGCTGGCACTATCTTGGTCCTTTGTGCAGGTGAGTGGCTTAAAACGCCTGCTGAGCTGGTGCTGTCACCGCTGTCGCCACAAGGCTACCCGATGCCGATGTCGACGCATGTCGAGAATCTTCGGCTGTTTCTCGCTAGGATCGCCGAGTGGAGCTGCTGATGTGGCCCGGGCCCGGCACAGAGTGTACGGTACCAGAGCATCAAAGATGAATGGATCGCATGGAAGCGTCACGAAACGAACAATCCTTGCCACCCTGTCGAGGTGACGCAAATTGAGCAGGGGGCCCAGTACTCCCTGCAACATGCCGCACTGTATGGAACACAAAGACAAGGAAGCAGGAAAGCGAAAGCCTGCACAAAAGTACCTCGCTCCGGAAGATGGATTTAATCGAGAAAATTGCGCCAGAGCTGCTGGCTTAACGCACATCGACAATGCAAGGATGGCACTGGATGCTCCAGACGTTGGACCTCTACGCTCGGGGCTAAGGCTTACTGTATAGTCCCAGTTACAAAGCTGAGCTTCCTTCTCCAACAAGGGGCAGTCTGAGATTGCTCCACCGTCCAGGTCGATGCTTGTCCGGGGACCTTGCTGCCATGGACGAGGAGGAAGAAAACCAGGACCAGCGGGATGCGTTTTGTTCAGTAGGTCTGGAAGTTTGCAGACGCCGAGTTTCAGGAACCCGGGGAATTTGCAAAGCTTGTGTGATTCTGTTCCTCACCAGCCCTCGAAAGTTCTAGCAGGACGAGTTGGAGCACGACAGGCTCGGCAGCAGCTAGGTAATCATCAAGACATACAAAATTGATTGTCCACGGGACTTACAAGGCAAGCACAGCAAAGCTTGGTGCCTGTTTTGATGCGATAGGTCGGATGATAGACTAGGCGGGCTAGCTATAACTCTGCAAGGCCTACGAGCGTATGTCGGGAGCTCGGAAATTGCCACGGTACGCAGGGTTCTTGGAAGGAGGAGCTAAATGTCTGGAGTTGGTTTGCGTTCCTCAGTCAGCAACTTGTTGCCATGCCGGCACCGACATACTTTACCCGTGCCCTCCAAATCATGATTTCGGTCATTTGAATTTCCATGTTCAGCAATAGAATTCAGCCCAGCCTTGGCCAGCTCGGCGGCTATCGAAGCGCTTCGTCGCTTCGTTAACACTTCCATGGTATTTGCTGCAGCCTCAGAGACAGCCGTGCCCATTAAAATCAGAGAGCTGCTTTGGGGAAGTGGTAACTGCTTCGCTGTCTTGCGTTGGAGTGCGAGATGATGCCTTCTGGGGACAGTACACGGAAACAATGATTTTGCGATCCGTGTGTCAGCTCAGGCGCACAAGTGGCGGACAAGTTTGGTGGTGCATTTCTGTGGAGGCTCTTCTAGCCGAGGGTAGGACATGCGCACGGTGCAGGCATTGAAGCCGCTTTAGAGGTGAGATGCACAAGGTTCTGCTGCACCTGTGCCACTTTGTCTCTCCGTGCATGACGGAAGACATGAGATGCTTTCGGAAGACCCCTCATGTTGCACGGAGTCAGCTGCGACCAGGGGTGGCCTCTGTGCTGGCGCCGAGATCACCAGATCAGCCGCCTTTGCGAGGCGTTCGATATGATCTAGCAGAGCTTGTGCTGTCGAACTTCCCGCTTTGCAATATGTTGCAAGAACTGGGTGCATTCATGAAAGCTCGACGGAATACGAAGAGGCAGTGGAACCCGGAAAAGCGAAGCTGCTACGGTCCGGGAACAGCGTCCAGGCACGTTGCCTGGTGAGATTGTGAGACTGCGCGTAGTGCTGCAATTCTTGCTCCTGCTGCTCCTGCTCCTCCCTCTCCTACTCCAGCTGCTACTACTATTACTGCTACTCTTACTATTATTACTACTATTCTTACTAGTATTGCTACTACTACTACTACTACTACTACTACTACTGCTACTGCTACTGATACTGCTGCTACTGCTACTACTACTACTACTACTACCACCACTACGAGTAGGAGTACTACTACTACTACTACTACTACT